ACATAGTCAAACACCACGGACAGTGATCACACACTGGTAGTGGAGCCTCCACTGTAACATTGCAATACAATCAGGTTCTGTGGAGAAAACAAGGTCAAGCGGTTTCCTGATGAAGGGTATGTTGGTTCCGAGACCCACTGCTGAAGACCCAAACCGTCAAACATATCCAAATAGGACCGTTCCATGACAGTACGTTGATGCGTGTCCTGCGCCATCCTCCTGCCAAGCTATACCTGGAAGGTTAAAGTCGCCCATCAATACTAGCTCTTTACCTGTCATCCATGTTTGCAGAGCTATTAGCAGTTCATGATTCTCCCCGGCAGAGTAAGAGGGAGGGCGATAAACAATGCCAACATATGTATTGGACCGGATTATCCTAAAAGCTAAGGCGTTTTTGTACAGAACACTCACTTGATCTATTTTGACATCTTTATGAATGTAGACACAGACACCATGCTTGGATGTGGTCCCTTCAGTATCACAGCGCAATAGGCAATAGTTTGGAATGGAGACAAAAGAAGTAGCAATCACTGACGTCAAGTGAGTTTCTGTGACACCAACAATATCTATTCTAGACTGAGAGATGAAGTTAGCTAGTAAAGATAACTTGGAACAAAGGCCATTGACATTAACATTACACACTCTAATCAGTGATTCGTTAGTCTGTGAACACTGTACTTTTAGTTTCCCGACCTCCCTCTGGTGCAGGCATCCTGCTGATGGGCATCTGTCCACCTTGTGGGCGAGCAGGAGGAGGTTCAACTGACTTTGGTACTGTCTCTGAGCTGGCATGTTCCTGAGCTTGTCTGTTGAGCCTCCTCTCCCGCAGTTCCCCCTCTGTGCATATGTCAGGTCCCTTTTGATAAACACCTTATCGTAACGAGTTCCACGGAGGTTCTTAGCATTGTCTAACACTAGTTTCCTGTTGTTCGCATTGATAATTTTGGCTCTGTAAATGTCTGGGTGAGATGGGATGGCTCTCACTTCAGAAATCTCAACTGTTGTGCCCATCAGGTGTTGTGTCAGTTCGGAGAACTTAATCACGAGGTCTGAGGCGGAGGATGCCTCCAAGCCACGAATGATCACAGATTCCTTGCGCTTCTCTCTCTCCTGTAGCTCCTTTAGCTCCTCCCTGACTATAACCCGGTAGCCATCAGAAGGATGAACGTGTGAGTGTGAGCGTTCTGTGTTTGTGACACTGGAGGCAGCCATGCCTCCAGCCTGTCCAGCACGACACTCCGTCTGTGGAGCGGGACGAGGTTGGGCAGAAAGGGTGTTTACTTGGGTTGTGAGGTCGGTCAGTGCAGCAGAGAGTCCTCTAATCTGCTGGAAAAGTTGTGAAATTGTTTCCTCCTTGAAATTGTCAGACTTAGCTGAAGGAGACCCATTGACGGATGCTTGGAGACCCGACATGCCATGCAAATGAAGTTAATGCCCTCACCACTGTACCCCAGTATCACATCAATAACATTCTGCGGCAGCCCTGATCACATTTCGGTACCATGGACCCATATTTCACACTTGTCGCAGCCAATACAGTCGTCACGAACCTACATCTTTAGAATGTTCCACATTAAATATCTCCTTAGTAGTAGCGGCAGTGGCAGCACTGCTAGTCTCAGACTGTGAGTGTGGAATCTACAGCAGCCCCAGCAGCACTAGCCTGCCTCTGGCTCCGTCTCTGTCTGCGGTTAACCATGTCTGAAGTGCAGTGTCGGTTGCAAGCAAGCAGCTGGCAAACAGTCGGGCACAAACAGCAAAGCCTCACGCCCAAGCCCAGCAGGGGAGGTTCAGTGGGAGAAGAACCAGGGAAGACAGTTGGACTATGGCCGGGGAATTGCAAGCAGACAGACGAGGAAGACTGTCACTGGATCCAGTACTACCTCCCAGGCATGCAGTGGCAGTGAGTGCAGGTCCCATGCAGGTAGAAGCTCCAGTAATTTGCAGCAGGCAATCCACAGACAATCAGATCACCTCTTGATGTCTCTTGGATGTCTCTCAGCAAGTTATATCAAAATCGCAATTCTCAGCGGTCCAGCGGTCCTTGGGCCACGGTTCTCATTCTTATTTTCAAGCATTCAAGCATTCAAGCATTCAAGGTTCAAGCATTCTTATTGAATGCTTTTATATTTTGACTTGCTCAATGTATCAAGGCATTAAGTTGCAATAGGTACCTACTGCAGATTACTAGGCTCCAGCATAAATAATCATATTGCATTTTGGTGAAGGTCATATGCAGGCAAGATTCAAGAATATTGTCAAAATATGGTCTTCCATTTCAGTTTTTCAGCTTTGCTAACATTTCACTCCAAATAATTTCTGTTTGTTTGTTTTGTTGGGTTAGGCCCTTTCGGTCGACAAGACCATTGCAGAGCCGGAAGGATGATAGGAATTTGGTCTGGGCAGGCACCCTAGTGAGTCACCGGGGCTGAGCCCGTCCAGAGGACAGGCCACCCAGCCCCAAGGCACTCACTGCACCCGGCTACGGGGTGCGATCCCTCAGGAGCAGCGGTGCCGCTCCAAGGGAGCAGCCCGCATGAGATAAAGTTGCCTGTCCAGCCCGGAGGGGGGTTGCGGCGTGGAGGAGAAGGATTTCAGTATCCTGAGGATAGAAGCACGGATAGGTGACTCCAAATAAATTTAGTAAAATTACTTATTAAGAGACCAGTGGCAAGGGCTTGAAAACTGCAGTTCCAAGGGACTTACACTGGTGCAAATTAATATCAGATGTCATATAACTCACAATATTGCTACATATATTCCAGTCACACATCAGTAGATCGTTTTTTACAGGTCAACGTCTAGGCCGGATTCAAGGCTGCCGGATTTAAAATTGAAATGCATGCAGTGAATTGTCTCTCCAATTCAAGAGAATCGATAGGGAAGCGATCTCAATCTTGGCTCTTGGTTGTACTTGCTACTGGATCCAGATTGGCAAAAATACTGGGAAAAGTAATGGATGATGAATGTCCGCAAATCCAACTTAACGATGCGTTTACGACTGGTTACGACCCTTGGATACGATGGTTACGACCAAAGTTACGACGGTTACGACGGTTACGACCGCAGATGCGAGTTGTCCAAAATGTCACTATTGCGCAACATTTGTCGACTTATCTATTTTGCATTATTTTGTTTTGATTTATTTATGTATGTTCATTATAAAAATGTCAGACTCGTCAATGGATTTTTTCAGTACCAAAAAAGGTTTTGATTTTCATACTTATATTTCGTAAATGGAAAAAATGTATATTTTAATGCTCTTGAGAGCTCTTTTCAAAACATGGTAGCCCCCGTGTGAGCATCATGCGAGAATGGAGTTTGACGTATTTTACGCTTTTCGTGAGGAAAAACGCGGTTACCTCAAGCATTTTGAATAATCCGGTTACATTTGTGATTCCTCACATGTGAACAGAAGATTTTACCTATCTTGATATTATCAAAATATGCATGGTGTTGAGCATTACCTGCAAAGAGCGTGCAACCCAGTACCAAATAATTAAGGACAATTACAATTAAAACCATTCTGCAGAAATCCAAGAATGTATTTATGCCGTTTAAGTTACATAAGGGGCCGTTGTAAGTATGTGTAATATGTAGATGTTGCTCTTGGTAAGCTGTCAGTGTCTGGTCATGTAGATCATCTGGTTGATGGTTATATAATTGGTGCTTATCATCTTGTAGACTATTTTAACATTGTAGGTACAAGCTCACTGGGTAAAAGTATACATTGAGTCCGAGCGACTGTTAAAAGATAAAGTTTTCATATTCTTACATTATTTGACATCCTGAATCCAAACATATGTCTTGGAAATAAAAGAAAAAACATAATCAAACCTGACCTAACCTTACCTATTTACCTACAACCTACAAACCTACAACCTAACCTACAACCTAACCTAACCTACAAACCTACCAACCTAAAACCTACAAACCTACAACCTAACCTAACATATAACCTAATTTTTTTGCTGTTATATATTTGTATCAACAGCGTCACAATTGTCCACTCGGACCTAATATATACTAATACCACTCACTGCATCTGTGAAATTGATGTTGTGCCTACTTATCATTTGCAGCACATTGGTCACATAGGCAAAGCAATTGTGTGCTGCTGCTGCATTCTAAAAATAATTCTTTTGCCTATTTTTGCAAGCTACCTCATTTTTCTGTCAAGTATCTTGGATAAATTTAGTATAAAACACACTTGGTGTTTGTTCCAGGCATTTTGTGGAGAGGTGCATCATCAACCACCACTAGTGAACCACCTGTGAAGGCTACAAAGAAGAAGCGGAAACCTAAGAAACACTATGCAGAGGTTATCCAGGGTAAGGTTATCATCTTAACAATTAGTTAAGATGTTATTAAGTAATTTGATTACTGGATTTTAATGCTCAATTTATCATCAGTGATCTGAGTTTTTCCTATGCCCTAATGAATTTTTCTGATAAGGAGCTAAAAAATCCAGCCAATTAAAAACACGCTATAATTGCTAATAAACAGTCCACTAAGTAAAAAGGAATGGTTCACCAGGGGCAGTGAAAAGGACAGGGTGAAAGGATTGTTTCCCTTATCCCTGCTTTGGAGAGAGGGAAAGGAATCTGACAGGTTAAGTTAACTCAGTTAAATTTAAATTTGATTTAACTAAACTGTTTGAATAAACAGACTTACAGAGCCAGAAGTTAGAAGTTACAATAGCCAGGGCTTGTTGTGTAAGCACTGACCCCTATGGTCCTGTCACTTGATTCTGGGCAATAGAGGGTTTGAATGGCAAGCTTTAGTGTACCTGTCAAAGCCAGGCGCAGTGTACCACTCAACTGAGCACAACTGGGTGGGGCAGCTCCCACCAACAGGCAACAGCAAACCATCCCCACCAAGAGTGTCCTAGTATCAAGCACTGGAGTCCCTCAAACTGGAATTCCAATGCTTTGCTGACTGGGCTGCAGGATGGACAAATGAACTGGCTGGATAATTATTACTGTGGAGGTGTTTTGTTATGATAACTTAAAGTTTCAATAGTTCTGGACATTCTAGTTTCTGACATTTCAAGGGCAAGTTTTGCTGCCTTGTGCTTGACCGAGACATGCTGCTGGAGCTGGCAGCCGACAAAGTGTGTGCTGTATCTGTGCTACATTGACCATTCTGTCTCCCTGTAATTCAATCTCGTTAATCTGGTCTCGTCCACAGTGGGGGCCAAGTCTACCAGTCTGGTGCAGCGGAGGGTTGCCAAGCTGGACCCGGCGCGATGGTCGGGGGTGCATTCGGTGCCTGTGCCCGTCCCGACACCCGCAGACGTCTCCCCCGCGCCACCGGTCGTCCCCTCCATCCACCCTCCCTCCTCTACAACTCCCTCTGATCCCACCCCAGAGGCGTCCTCACCAGTGGCGGGCTCCGAGCCGGACTCGCTGTCAGAGGACGTACCGCCGGCGGTGCTGGCCGAGACGGACGAGGACGCGCTGCCGGAGACTGTACCGGTGACCCCGCTGGGCTGCTTCGAGCCGGCGCTGGCCGATGAGGCAGAGGGGGAGGCAGAGGTCGAGGAGGAGGTCTCCGAGCTCGACATCACCAAGAAACTCCACCAAAAGTAGGCAGAGCTCCCGTCCAGGGTGTCGTGGGCAGAAACTAGTACGGCAACATTCGTTTTTGCCCCTAACGTGTCTTTTATATCGTACTTACTACTTTTCATGGTTCACTGATATCTACTGATGTGTATGCGAAATAATAGCATAACAATCCTTGAATTGTCCTTCAAGGATTCTAAAAGTAAACAACACGTCGCTGTTCTTTGAAACCACCTTACCTCGTGGACGGCGGTAGGCTTAGTGGACGGCTGGGCTTAGCCACCCATTGCACGTGACTGACTCGATGACTCGTCTGTCACTCAGGAAGAAGCGGTCCGGCGGGCAGAAGCGTCCGGCCGGCTCCAGGGAAAAGGCGGCCGCCCTGCGACTCATGGAACAGCAGGCCGCCGGAAAACAGGCCAGCTTCATATCCAGCCTCAAATGCTACCTCGAAGTCTGTGTGAGTGGTGTGTGCCTGATTCCCCAGACCTGTTTATGCTGATCAGTCCCACCCCACCCCCTCTAAATTTCTCCCGATCAGTGTTGCGCACCCTTCAAATCTGTCAACCGTTCAGTGCCGCACCGCTTTCGTCTCGTTCATTGCCGCGCTCTTCTGTTAATCTTATGCTATTCTCTGCAATCAGCCGTATATCCCTCTTTACCACCCTGGCTGACCCCCTCCTCTTCCCCCTCTGCAGGTGAACAGCGGTCTTGTGAACCGCGCCTACAACACGCTGCTCTACTACCGCAACATGAACAGGAACTTCCAGCGCACCACCGACGTACGCGACGTGCGGCTCTACAACGTGCTCCTCGCTGGCTTCGCGAGAAAGGTGAGAAATGGGGTGATTGTTTCTCCTTCACGTCGAGCCGCTCTAGAGATACAGACACTACCCTGGTCTGTCTGAAGCTGATATTTTGTCAAATCGTAGCATCTCGTCGCAGCGTCACGGGCCTTTGTCGTCTGACATCGCACGATCGCACTGTCTCACACCTCAACTCTCAACTCTCCCGTCAACATCGTGAACTGCTCAGTCGGACTGCTATCACAGTCCTCCCCTTCGAACACCTTGTGATCTTCTCAGTCAACTCTATTAGCTCACAGTCACAGGCATTAGCCCCTCACAGACACAGACATCAGTTCACAGACATCAGACATGTCCCCACAATGCTCCTCTCTCGCCCAACGACCCTTCACTGGCCATCTTTTTCGCGTCGCTGCCTCCTATCACTCCCGTCTCCCTCACAACCCCTCGACTGACGCTTCCGCTCTCCGCCGCTGCTGCAGGGTCAGCTGGACCGCGTGCTGGACGCGCTGCGGGTGATGCGGGACGACCAGGTGCGGCCGGACGCAGAGACGTTCGCCCTGGCCTTCCAGTGTCTGGGCCGACAGCCGCGCACGGCAGAGAACGTGCGCAACGCGCGCCGACTGCTCCGCGACATGGACGAGGCGGTACGGACTGCAAACAGGAAAAGGCAGAGTGGTTGTAGGCTTAGGTACGGGAGGGGGAGGAGGGGTAAACCAATGGATGTATAAGTACATATGGATGGCTGAAGGAAGTATGGGGTATTCATGAGAACGTGGAATAGAGGTAGGGTCTCGAGGAAGAGGTCAACGGTTATAGAAGAATAAAATGAGGGATGGCAACCGAAGCCTATAAATGACTCATGCCTTCTGCTTCTCCGTCTATTTGTGTTCAATCTGACCGTGAGAGCCGCTTGTCCTTTCTCCTGTCCGTCTGACAGTTTGTGTCTATCTGACCAGTCTGTACCACCCACAGGGAGTCCGTATGGAGGACGCCGGGGTCCGCGGCTCGGCCCGCTCTGTCTGTCTGTCTGTCTGTCTGTCTGTCTGTCTGTCTGTCTGTCTGTCTGTCTGTCTGTCTGTCTGTATCTGTCTGTGTGTCTACCTGACCTGTCTGACCTATCTGTATTCTGTCCCCTAGGGAGTCCGTATGGAGGACGCCGGAGTCCGCGGCTCGGCCCGCTCGCTCGGAGTCCAGGCGCTCAGCTGGGCTGACCCGGAGCGGGCGCGTGCCTGGCCGCCAGAGCCGGTCCTCTACAACTGTCCCCTAGTGGACCACCTCAACGCCGACCTCGAAACCAAACAGGTATAGAGGGGCTGGATGTCGGTGCAGGCGGGTGTAGAGTGACGTTGGGTGAATGCAAACGCTGCCTGCATCCCAAATTTTGAGAGGAGTTAGAATAGACAGGCGCCACCGTACTGTCATTTGCTGGTGCTTCTGCCGAGCCGTTGTCTATCGCCAACATTGTTTTGATGATGCTTCAATTTAATTCGTCGAGAAACCAGCCCGTGCTGACAGTTTCTATCCATATGTCAGATTCTATCCTTACAAAAGAATGCATCACAATTGACCCTGTAAAGTTTCTATCCATATGTCAGATTCTATCCTTACAAAAGAATGCATCACAATTGACCCTGTAACCTCTGACCGCTGTCCCTGACAGGTGGAGCCTCCGGCGCTGGGCGTAGACCTGGGCCGCTCGTACCGCGAGTTGGCTCGGGAGCAGATCTCCACGGAGCTGGCCGGGACTCTGACTGTAGCCAGCGTGTACCGGCCCAAAGACGAGCCCACGCCGCGGTCCAAGGAGCACAGTGTGAGTATCGCGACTCGTTTTACACCTCGCTTCTGCTCCCCGCTTTTACCTTCGGTTAGTCCGCCCGAACCGCGCCCTGTTTTAGCACCTCGTTCCTCGGTTTGAAAGTAATGTGCTGCGTTTTCCTGGCAGTTTGCGGGCGTTGGCAGCTGCGTTGTGGTTTTTCATTTTTCGTCCCCTGTGTCACTAGTAGGTACGCCGGATGTGGATGCATAGCTATAATTTTACAGTCACTCTCATTGAAAGTACCTACTGTAACTAGAAGCAATTCAAGCCCTAGCTAACCACCACTTTCGCCTCCCCTCCGTCCACAGAACGCGTACATGTCCCGCCTGGAGTCGGACTGGGAGGTTTATCTATATCCCCCCTAACCGCCCCCTCCCCCTCCGTCCACAGAACGCGTACATGTCCCGTCTGGAGTCGGACTGGGAGGCCAGTCTCACCGCCGGCTTCCTCCGTAACCTCAGCCCGGTACGGCAGCAGTTCCACAGTAACCAGATGAGCCGCTGCATCAGCCTCTACCCCTACCTGACCGGCATGGACGTGCGGGAGTACGTGCGTCTGATGATGACGGAGATCCAGGGTCACCTGTCCGGCTCGGGCCAGGTGGCGCTCGGCCGGGCGGCGCTGCACAGGAGACTCGGCGAGCTGGCCATGAAAAGGTATCAGAGTGTGGGAAGGAAGGGGGCATCTGGGGAGGGAAGGGAGGCCGGCCAGGGAGTAGTGACCTGTCGTTTGGGAGGAGGGGACGAAGGGTGGTGTAAGAGACAAGAGTTCATAGACGATAGTAGCAAGACTGGTTGTTTGAGCAGACCCCACGATCACTGAAATAATGTTATGATGTAGATCACAAAAATGAAGCTTGACGTAGCTGAGACTTCCAAGATATTGTATGATTTTGAGATGTGTCTACGAAACACATAACAGCCTAGTTGATCATCTGACCTGCCGGCTGACCTGCCCTGACCTGACCCACCCTGACCTCACCGTCTGCCGTCAGATACCAGAGTCACGTGAAGCAGACGTCTGGTCTGGTGGACCGGGTGCTTTCCGTGTACGACCGATACCTGGAGGCCTACCAGGACCCGGCGGCGGCCGGCTACGTGCCGCGGGAGCGCTGGAGCCGCCTGGCCGCCGAGCGGCGCGACGGAGCTGACCTGGTGGGTGCGGGACGGGACGGGATGGGACGAGACGAGACGGGACGGGACGGGACGGGACGGGACGGGACGGGACGGGACGGGACGGGACGAAACGAGACGAGACGGGACGGGACGGGACGGGACGGGACGGGACGGGACGGGGCGGGGCGGGGCGGGGCGGGACGGGACGGGACGGGACGGGACGGGACGGGACGGGACGGGACGGGACGGGACGGGACGGGACGGGACGGGACGGGACGGGATGGGAGGTCAGCTGAGGAGAGGGGGTGGGTAAAGGGGCTGGAGAGGCGAGGCAGGGTGAGACCATGTAATGGTTGGAGGGACGCCAGACGGGCAGTGTTGGGACACGTCTAGCGGTGGGGACAAAAGAGGGTGAAAATTAGGGTTCAGTTTTAGTGGTTCGAGTGTACGTCTACATCTAGCAAAGATTTGATGTGCGAAAAGTTTTACCGACCATTACCACTGTGACTGTGATATTGAACTGCTGCACAATGCCCGCTGTTGACACCCTGTCCCGTTCTCAGGAGTACCGCGAGCGCGGCTGGTCGCCGGTGATAATCAGCAGCGTGGGTCAGTTCCTCTACAAACTGATCCTGCACGACGTAAAAATCGACCCCAGCATCACCAAACTGGCCAAACTCACCGAGTGAGTTTCAGTGGGCTAGCCGCAACGTTTTGGCGGTCTTCTGCTGTCCTCTGACGGTCTTGCCCGAATGATGATAGGTCTTCTTCTTCTTCTTCTTCGTGTTATCGGGGCAAGAGGCACGATGTCCTGTAGGGCCCGTTCTCGCCGATTTCCATAACTTCACTTAGTACTCAGTCTGTTACAGGAGTGGAGTACCAGATCGACTCCCAGTGTGCATCCAGCCTGTTCTTAAAGACGTTGACTGAGGGCGAATGTACAATTTCTGCTGGAAGCCCGTTCCAATCGTTAATACACCGCACAGAAAATGAATTCAGTCTGGCACGGCAGGTTGCACGAGGCTTCCGTAGTTTAAGTGTGTGACCCCGAGTTCGCCTTTCAGGATTCGTTGCCAGAAGCTCTGAAGGATCAGTATCAACGTGGCCGTGCAGCATCTTGTATGCGTGAATCATATCCATGCGTCTACGCCGATAGTACAGTGACGGGAGCTTCAGTCTCTTCAGCCTTTCAGGATATGGAAGGTGGCGGATGCTCACCACTAACCGGGTGGCTCTTCTTTGAACCCTTTCGACTGCCTTCTGATCAGCTCTATTGAACGGACCCCAAACAAGACTGCTGAACTCCAGGTGAGGCCGCACGAGAGATTTGAACAGAAGAGGCAGGGTAAATTCATCTAAAAAGGCGAAGGACCGGCGGATGACGGCAAGAACTTGAGACGCTTTGAAGACCGCCGTAGACGCTTGCTGTCGAAACTTCAAGATTGAGTCGACCTGCACACCCAGGTCTCTCTCGACTGACGTGTTTGTCAGTCTGTCCGACCCCATTTGAAATGAGTGGTGGTCCTTGGCTGCACCAACATGAAGCACTTTGCACTTATTCTCGTTAAATGGCAGCTGCCAAGTTCTAGACCATTCCACGAGGGCGTTCAGGTCTGCCTGCAATGTCCGCACATCATGTTCAGAAGAGATGCCTGAGAACAGCTTTGTGTCATCTGCAAACATTCGCACATTTGAAGTGACAGCATCTGGCAAGTCATTGACATAGAGCAAGAAGAGCAATGGGCCCAACACTGAGCCTTGGGGCACACCACTGCGCACAGGGACCAAATCTGACAGGTTTCCATATAGGGACACTTGCTGCATTCTGTCATCCAGGAATGATTCAATCCAAGACAACACTCGGTCACCAATACCATAACAGCGCAGCTTGCCTATCAGTCTCTTGTGTGGGACGGAGTCGAACGCCTTTCGAAAGTCAAGGTAAATCACTTCGACCTCCGTCTTGTCCTCCAACAGGCGGCTCCATGAGTCTATAGAGTCAAGCAGTTGCGTATCACAAGATCGCTTCGGGCGGAAGCCATGTTGGTCCTTGGACAGCAGGTCATTTGACAGCAAATGGTCCATTAAACAATCACGAATGAGCGACTCGAGAATCTTACAGGGAACAGATGTGAGGCTGACAGGTCTATAGTTTCTTGGGTCTTCCTTTTCACCTTTCTTAAAGATTGGTATGACTTTACCGTGCTTCCAGTCTGCAGGAATAGACCCAGTTTCAAGCGATTTTCGGAACAGTAAGGTCAAGGGAAGGGAGAGAGGACCACTCAATTCCCTTAAAACGCGGGGGTGAATGTCATCAGCTCCTGGGGCACTATTGGGGTTCAGTGCTTTAAGCTTTTGCTTCACTGTGAAAAGATTGACTGGTATATCGATCAGCGGCGGCCCTGTGTAACGGTTTGCTAGTTGTGGCACGACATCCGTTTTTTCAATAGTGAATGCGCCTGAGAAGACGTCATTCAGGAGCGAGGCCTTCTCTTTTTCCTCGCTAACAAGCTGGCCCTGGTCGTTTCTTAGATCACCAATACTTGATTTAACTTTACGGCGGCTGTTCACATATTTCCAAAAAGCCTTCGGGTTTTCTTTCATGTTTGCTGATATCTTAGCTTCAAAATCTTTCCTTAACTGGCGAGTCAATGTCCTAAGCTTATTTCTGCAAATCTTATATCTGCTATAGTCGATGGGGTCTTGCGTTCTCATGTACACTGACCACAGTACCTTCTTCTTCTTCTTGAGGTTTAGTGAACGGCTATTCATGTAAACGTTCTTTTTAGACTTGACGTTTCTTGCTTTGGGTATGCACTCACTCATCAGCGATTCAAGTTTGCTCCTAAACCACTTGTAACCCGCGTCTACACTCATGGTTGACAAACAGCTCCAGTCAACTGCATGTAGTTTTACACGCAAGGCCGTGAAGTCAGCGCGGTGAAAATTCCATTTCAAGCCGGCAGAAGAACATTTTTTGTTGTAACAGGCAATATCGCATTTCAGTAGCACATGATCACTCCTTCCTAATCCAGGACAATATTTGATCTTTGTTATCATATTCTCATCATTTGTAAACACCAAATCCAGTATACTAGGCCTACAACCCTCTCTAAATCTGGTAGGCTTGGTGACATGCTGGAACAGGAATGCATCCTGAACGGCAGACAAAAACTTGTTGGCAAAATGTGCTTCAGATGCGCTGCAAAAGTTGTTTTCCCAGTCAATCTGAGGAATGTTAAAATCCCCAACAATGAGCAGGTGAGTGTGCTTGAGAGAAATCGCATTTTGGAGTAAGCAAGACAAATCATCAACACTTCGATGGGGGTCGCCTGAGGGGCTGCGATAAATGCATCCGGCAAGTAGCACGTCATTGTTTTCCAAGCACAATTGTACCCAAAGTTGCTCTTTAAATCTTGAATCTGGAAAATGTACGTTGGAAACTTTCAGTCGATGATGAATATAGATGCATATGCCTCGAATGCCAAGGTAATTGGTATCATCAAAGTTGGTGTGCACTTCATAACCAGGCACAGAGAACAAGACAAGGGGCACTGACGACATCCGCACCTTCGGTAGCGCTTCAGTGATGAAAATGATATCGGGATCTTCACCACAAATAGTCATGCACAAATCATCCCTCTTGTTCAACAATTGGTCCGCATTTGTGTACCAAATACGTAGGCACCGAGTGCCCTCAGAGGCATTCTTCACGGGCAGTCACGCTTGCTGAGGTTCTGGAGGACAGCCATCAGACACCGGTCTGATACTATTTGATCTCATCGGCTTACCGCGGTATGTGAAAGCACGACTTCCAGGGCCTTTGCCTCTTCCATGTTAAAAACAGCTCAATATTTGTAGTATCAGTAAGGGGAAAATCAAAATACGTGCTGGTAGCTAGATGTGTGAATTTCAATCGCGTGGTTTTATTTTGTTCTCGTTACTCTCCTCATTCGCCCTCGTGCTCTCAACTCTTTTCACTTCTCTCCCCTCCCTCAGACACCCGATTCCGGCGTTTTACACGGTGTTTAACCGTGACGGTGCGCGCCACAAGGAGGTGGTTCGTCCGCACCCGGCGCTGGCGCGTCTGTACCGCGCCACGCGCCGCCACCAGATCACGTTCGACGCCAACCTGGTGCCGATGGTGAGTCCGCCGCTGCCGTGGAGCTCCCAGCTGGCCGGCGGCTACCTCATGTCCTCGGCGCCGCTCATGAGGGTCAGGTCAGTCGGAGGAGGGGACGGGAGGGCTGGGAGACTAACTAGGGGCATGAGGGCCAGTTGATGTGGGAGTTATCGCGAGAAAAGGGACAATGAGCTTAGCCTTTTTTCTTTGTATGTTAATTATGGCGCTGCTTGTTATTTTTATTATTATTATTTTTTGTTAGCCATGTTATGACTCATTTGGTCAGATCTGCCAGGCATCATGCCTCACTAATAACAGCCAATATGTTTTGAGTTCGTGAAATGACTCACGCTACTTGACCGCCGATCCCCACGAGTTCTGACCTGACCTGCTCTCCGTGCTCAGAGCGGCCTCCATCCCCTGATTACTGACCTGACCTGCGCTCACCTCCCAGAGACATCCCCTGATCACTGACCTGACCTGTCCTTTGACCCCTCAGAGCGGCGTCCGCGGAGACGAGCTGCCAGCTGCAGCGGCTGCAGGAGACGCCCACGCAGCAGCTGTTCCCGGTGCTGGACTCGCTGAACCAGCTGGGCGCCATCCCCTGGGTCATCAACCAAAAGGTCAGACACAGCGAGAGCAGTGGCTGTCCGTCGGATAGGACTGGGAGGGCGTGTGGAGTATGTTGGCATTGATTAAATGTAAAAGTAAACAGAGATAGTGGTGTCTTAGTAGCTATCTGGTCGGTTACTCTTCCTGCGAATGCTTTCGGCAATTTCACTCAGTTCTATTTTTGCGGACATTTTGGAAAATAAAAATCCCGTTTGTCAGGTGCTGGACGTGGTGTTGCACGTGTTCAACAACGACGGCGACGAGTCGCTGGACATCCCGGCGCCCGTGTCGCTGCTGCCGCCGCTGCCCACCATCGAGCCCACAATGACGCCCAGCGAAAAATTCAAAGGTCAGAACTGACGTTAAGGATTGTGGGGTTATCTTGGAGGGTGGTAGGGGAGACGACTCACCACGGTGATGCGGAGAGCACACCTTTTGCCCTTAGGTGAAATAAGAGGGCACGTCTCCCTCAGAGAATTCGAAGAGCACACGACTCGCCTGCGGGAGGATCATCAGGCAAACGATCAGAAGTGAATCAGAATGACTTTCGCCGGGAACAGTAGAAACCCATGGGAAGTCCTGGCTGTGACCTGCCTGGTTTGTAACGATCACCTCCATATGACCGTGGTCTCTCTGACCTGTGTGACCTCTCTGACCCGTCTGACCTCCAGTGAAGCAGCAGCGAGTGCAGCTGAACCGTAAGAAGGCCGAGCAGTTCGGGCTGTGGTGTGACGCCCTCTACAAACTCAGTCTCGCTAACCACGTGAGTCGGAATGGGGGCCTCTGGGGAAGGGCGAAGGTCACCGTTGGAGTGGGCCTTAGGATCTCTTGGATTGATCTGAGTTGTATTCTGGTGCATTGTTAGAAATGATGCAGCGAATATTTCAAAATGACGAATGTGATAGCGTATTGTGGTGTGATAATGAGTTAGGAAGTTTTTACTAACAGTTAATCGCATGTTTCTAGTACGGCGTCTTTGAGTGATCGCTCCTGTGTCTGACCCCCTCCCCCCTCCCCTTTCTGTCTCGTCAGTTCCGTGACCGCGTGCTGTGGCTGCCGCACACGGTGGATTTCCGCGGCCGGGCCTACCCGTGTCCGCCCCACCTCAGCCACCTGGGCTCCGACCTCTCCCGGTCGCTGCTGAAGTTCGCCCGCGGCAAATCGCTCGGGCAGAGCGGACTCGACTGGCTCAAGGTGGGTACTGGTGAGCGGACAGAGAGGGTCCCTTCCATCTCGATGTTGTTTCTGTTCGTGTTTTTGAGATTCAGGGAGGTAGTGCTACAAGTCTGTTTGGTAAAAATGAAAGTGTCGCTGCATATGCTCATTTTCCATTTTCGGGTCATTGTATACTCGTATTTCGGAAAATGGGAATATACAATGGTCAATATCTTATATCAACAGGCGTTATGCAAAGTGCAAGAATGAAACTCGTAACACGTACTTTCTTTGTGGGCTACAGCAAATAATAGATTACGATCATTCGCTGGAATCGCCTTAGGCCTGTACACATTCAGCTGTTGTGCTGTTGTCAGCCGAGAAACGCTCACCCTATTGGCTGAAAAATTAATGACGTCATGTTGCACTTGCAACATGACGTCATCTCCCTGCTGACGGCAGCATGGGCTGACGAGCTGTGCTGCCAGGAGAAAGCAAGTGCAGAGATGCCCAGCCGTCAGCAGAATCCATAATTGACGCATTTAGACACTGGTAGTGGCGCATGTAAACAAATCACGTGCCACATTTTTACTAAGTACTGCAGATAAATGAAAATTCGGCACTGTATTAACGCTTTTCACGTTATTTTGCTTTCATAATTATTTATCAATGTAAGAAGAGTAAATATTTCCATTGCATATTATATGCAAATATTTTGATAATATACCTAACTATTAAAATATTATATTAATAAAGGACATGAATATGAGACGATGTATTTGTTTACAAAGCCACATTTGTAGACAGTCAGCCACTGCTGACATTTCTCATCAGCCGAATGTGTACAACTCCGTCAGCTAGAAACGGTGGGTGGAGCCTATTTCGGCTGACAACAGCACAACAGCTGAATGTGTACAGGCCTCTTGTCTCGCCCTGACCGGACCCCTTACGACCCTGCCCTGTCTCAGGTGCACCTGATTAACCTGACTGGTCTGAAGAAGCGGGACCCGACCTCTGAGCGGCTGCGCTACTGCGACGAGATCATCGACGACATCCTCGACTCGGCCGACCGGCCACTCACCGTGAGAAAACGGGGAGAGACTGGGGCGATAGAGTATTTCCTTCCGAAGGATGGAGGAATTGATGGAGCGAGTATGATTGATGGACGGGTGAGGCTGATTATGGTCGGTTGATAAATAGACTTGGTACAGCTTGTAATGACAAATGCTACATAGTCGGATTTTCTTTCAAAATCCTCGTAAAAATCTGTTGAATGAAATGATCCTCATGAAGAGGCTTCCTGGATTGGCTCCTGGCGGAGGCCGTGACCTGTCCCTCTCCCTGACACATCACTGAGTTGACCTCCCCTCCCCCCCCCCCGCTCAGGGCTGTGGCTGGTGGCGGACCTCTGAGGAGCTACGACTCTAACCCCCCCCCCCTCCCCCCGCTCAGGGCTCCGGCTGGTGGCGCACCTCAGAGGAGCCGTGGCAGACTCTAACCCCCCCCCCCCCGCTCAGGGCTCTGGCTGGTGGCGCACCTCTGAGGAGCCGTGGCAGACGCTCTCCTCGTGTCAGGAGCTGGCGGCGGCGCTGCGCTCGCCGGACCCGGCCGCCTTCGTCAGCCATCTGCCTGTGCACCAGGACGGCAGCTGTAACGGGCTGCAGCACTACGCGGCGCTGGGCAGGGACTCGGCCGGCGCCGCCAGCGTCAACCTGTCGCCGGCTGAGCGGCCGCAGGACGTCTACAGCGGCGTGGCCGCGCTGGTTAGTACCACTGTACCATAGTACCATTCCATGGCGCATATGTAACATGGGGCCGCTTCGCCCTGATCACCGCCGTCATTTAGTGCGGAGACGTTTTCGGTCCATAGTCCAGCGAAAACCGCGACGTGACATAGCACTGGCAACAATCAGAGAATTGCCGGCAGTGCATTAGCCGAAGTTTTTTATCCGAGCTGTTAGCTGGGGATACTCGACTAATATTTATGAAGTTCAACTGTTCTAGCGCCCCAATCTGGCATTGACGGTGATTTCACGGTATACCTACCCGGTCCTCTGAGGTGCTCACCGCTTACCCCGCTCACCCCGCGTGCTCACCATTTTCTCTCCCGTCCCTGTCAGGTGGAGCAGCTGCGTCAGAAGGACGCGGCCGACGGCCTGCCGATCGCCGCTGCCCTGGACGGCTTCGTGCGCAGGAAGGTGATCAAACAGACGGTGATGACAACAGTGTACGGGGTGACACGCTACGGCGCCCGACTCCAGATCGCCAAACAGCTCAAAGGTTCGTGGGCTGCCGGGAAAACGGCGGAGGGGGTGGCAGTGGGTCAGGCATATCTCAGGTGTTCATGTAATGTGCTTTGAGTTTAACGAAGGTGTGTTATAGTGTCACTTTCTGTATTTATATTTAGGTATGAGGGCGGGTGTAATGCTCTGAAATCTGGTAACCAAATAAGCTGGACTTAGGCAGGTTGGCTGCTTTCACAGGCAGGCTGCCCATATTTAGCTGGATGTCGTTAGTTTTGGGACTCTCCGTTATCGGTTACGTGTGTTCGCTGTGTAACGTTTACCCCCACGTGTCCTTCGTTGGGACAGTTTGTGATGACACCTCACCCTCCTCTGTGACTGTAGATATTCCGGACTTTCCGAAGGAGCACGTGTGGCAGGGTTCTCACTATCTGGTGACCAGGACCTTCATGAGCCTGCAGCAAATGTTCACCGCCGCCAAAGAGATTCAGGTGAGCGAAAGGGCAGCTGGCTAAATGGGGAAGAGTAGTGTTGCATACGTTGGGTGCTTATTGTTTGCTTTCCTGCTGGCTGCTACGAACAAACACGTAAATTGACGAACTTCATCCCCGCGGGAAATGGATAGGGTGCTCCTTACTGGCTTTTACCTCTTGGAATGACATAAAATGAAACCCCTACATGACATCGGTGGCCTATGGTGCTGACTGAAAGGCCTCCCCGGTCTCTCGATATGCCCTGACGCCCCCGGTCCGCCCCCCAGGACTGGTTCACCGAGTGCGCCCGCGTGGTCTCCTCGGTCCGCTCCGAGTCGGTCGAGTGGGTCACCCCGCTCGGCCTGCCCGTCGTCCAGCCCTACGTCCGCTCCAATCACAAGACCGCCGTGCGCCCGCTCAGTGAGACTGGACGCATGAGCCGGCCGCACTTCACACACGAGGCGTACGAGTGAGTGTGCGCGGGGGATGGGATGGTAGTTACATAACTCTAACTGGTGCATTTGGAGACGGTTTAGGGGAGGACGGTGCAGACCATGGCATGAACGGTAGAAGAACGATGATTTTTTATGTAGCTGTATGTAGTGTAGAGACTCTGGACACCAAATGAATATTGCCCTCAATACAGGCCTTTTACTGCGTATGTAAAACAGAAAGCTCTTTGGAAATATATTAGATTTCCCAAACAACTTTTTATTCACTTAAATCTAGTCACATTTACATTGTCTCTCTATTTTACTCACTTATCGAACAAACAAAACATCATCGTTCTCCTCTTGAGCTCACTCTACCTCACTCTTCCCATCTCGCAGGCGTCCGAACGCGATCAAGCAGCGTAACGCGTTTCCGCCCAACTTTATCCACTCGCTGGACTCGTCCCACATGATGCTGACCTCGCTGCACTGTCTGCACGCGGGCATCACGTTCGTGTCCGTGCATGACTGTTACTGGACACACGCCTCCACCGTCGACCAGATGAACAAGGTCCGCAGAGAAGGGGTAGAGTACGCGGGAAGGTTATCGTTTTTCATTCGTCGTGGTGTTGTGCAGATAAATGTAGGCTTTTTGTGTTGTATTTTTCTCGTCCCTCATAGCCTTATGTGAAAGTTGGTTCAGATATTGTCCAGTCGTAAGGTGAATTAGATGGTAGCTTTGTATCATAATATTCTCAACCGTGTTGTACCTTACCCGGCCCCAAAGGCCCATAACAAATATATGGCCCCAAACAATTCCGTCCCCCGCCCCACCAGCCCCGCTGACTTCCCCCCGTCCCCCCCCCCTCCCCAGGTGTGCCGGGAGCAGTTTGTAGCTCTCCACAGCCGACCGCTGCTCGAGGAGCTCTCCGAGGGACTGCTGGCCCGGTTCGGGATCCCGCCGGACACAGAGTCCGGCGCCGGATCCGGGTCCGGGCCCGGAGCCATCCCGGAGGGCTTCCCCCGGGACCGGGTGAACAGAGTGCTGGCCGCCGTCCCGGAGCTGGGGGAGTTTGACCTCAGAGAGGTGCTCCGGTCGCCCTACTTCTTCAGCTAGTGGGTGGCGGGGCGGCAGGAGGTGCTGCTCAACGGAGGTGCTTCGGAAGAGATGCTCTGGTGCTGCGTTGTTTGAAGAAAAGAGATGAAGGCTCGCAAATTATGTGCCTGTTGCCGATTCATCACCTCTTCGGATATAAACGTGGATGGTATCTCCCGTAGTCGGATTCATGCAATAATTATTCAGCATCGTGCTGTGTCATTTGTTCTCGATGCCCTCCTAGTCTGCACAGAGTTGCTGGCATTGTTGGCTGAAAAATTTGGAGTTTTCGAGAGGTGTAGCATATGGCTGTGGTAGAACTATGCGTGAAACTAGCCGCTGCAACCACGGCGTGTGTGTGATTGCGTAGCAAGAGATTTTATAGATGTTTTATAGAGCGTATAGTCATTTGACTTGTACGAGTAGAATATGTCTGAGAAAGTTGTGTAACCGCACTTGTTTTGCTGAACCGCGAGAAGTTGTTGGTGGTCGGCTGTGAGAATATCGTGCAACGGTCATTTGGAACGCAGTAATTGTTTTCAAACGATGGAACAATTCAATCCCGATAGGTACTTACCTGTCCTATTGTCAATGCGAGTAATAGACGTTCATCGAAAAATTGATTCGTTAAGTTATTACATGCCGAGACTGAGCACTACTTTGTACGGCGGTTTCCATAGACCGGCAAGTGAGTGGTCCTGTCATTATAGTCAATATGTATTTGTATTTACGATCATGGGCGATCCACACATGGCGTGGCGATTACTGCCCAATACTGTGCTCTGCTGTCAGTTGTGCAATGAAATGAGTCGTGTCGAAAAGCATACTGTTCACAACGGATACATCTGGACTGCATTCCCGCTCACTCCGAACGAACAGTGTCATTGAGAGAGCGTGCGTGTGGGCTTATCCACCGATACCCGTGGTGCCATTTGTCACCTGTGCCGTTCTGAACCCCTCCCCAGTCGCCCATTGGACCATTTCTAGTCAGGAAGACAGGCAAACTCGTCCCTCATCTGTTCAGTACGATGCTCACTGCGTTTTTATAATCAGCGTAGACAGGTGTCACCAGAAACTGAACTCCAATACAGAACGGGTGATTCGTGAACGATATTTGTACACATTCGACAGGGATATGGTTGGGGGATGGATACGCGACAATGATAGTGGCGAGGGATCGTGCAGGCTGCATTCGGTTCATAGTGTGATCGGTGGTGAGAGGTGCACTGTGAAGTTCATATCCGCCTACGTTGTGGTTCGACGATTCAGGCCGTGATTTGGACGGCTTCCATTGTGGTCTGGCGTTGTCACCCTCCTGATTAAACATGGATGCACAGACTCCACTCATGTAGCTGTGAGTAGATAGCAGAAACGTCGCTGCCTTGAGAACACTTCCGTATTTGATTTTATGATTCGCTCTGGAAGGAAGTCCCTCGGCGACCTACTTCTCACATGCAACTCTTATGAGGTATGCTTGTGCTTGTATGCAGGAACGACAGCCCCTTCAAGGCCTCTCTTCCTGTATAGTGAGCTGGTATTTCCATGTTCCGTCCCTCAGCTCTCATGCTGACTAGCACGCTGGGGCCCACAACACCTCTGCTGCATATGTAAATGCGTGTGCCGCTGCCGCCGCCTTGACCGTCTCATTGCATTCAGTGTACCTGGAATGGGAGCGGGCTGCGGCGCCTGGGCCGCTGCCGCGACTGAGTGGTGCGGCCAGAGTGTGATGGCTGGTGAAGACTTGTGACGGCTGTTAACAACTGTCGGGACTGTCTGGTCACTGGTCAGTGGCGGCTATCTGGTGGCAGAGAAGCTGAGATGGCGGCCGAACCGAGGATGCTGGTGTTCTGTCTCGTGCTCGCGAGTTCGGTGGCGCGGACTTTCGGTGAGTGCTGACTGCTGATGGTTGGGAGGGGTACGGTGAAGGGGTAACAATTTGTGGGCTTAGGTTACGTGATCAAACTATTTTCGGTGTAAACTTTGTAAGTGGAATTGCCGTCTGTCACATCAAACACTTGTCTGGTCTCTTGTAACATCGCCCCGCTATCGCCCGTTGACTGTCACCCTTCCCCCTCCCTCCCCCAGCCCAGAGGGACGCGGGCTGCGGCCGGCGCGGGTTCGCCGGCGGCGGCCAGTGCCGGCCGCCCGGCTCCTGCTCCCTGTACGTCTCCGGACTGTGCAGCGGCGGCTGGATCTGCTGTCAGAGGTCGGAGGGAGCGGTCACCTTTCCCGGGCCGGGGGCGGACCGCCGGCCCCCGCCGCTCACCCACCGCACAGTCGGAGCCGGCGCGATCGTCTTCCCCGAGCAGGCGGTCGGACCGGAGCGTCCGCAGCCGGAGAGGGGTGGTCAGGGCACCGGGACCGGCCGCCAGCCGGCACAGGGCCGGCGCACCCTGCTACGACCGCCCTTTGGTGAGCAGTGACTGATGGTGGGGCAGTTAAATCGATGACGTACCAGTCATCGATGACGTACCGGTAGTCAGCAGGGTGATGGGGGCATTGGGCGCTACCAGGGGTTGTGGGACAGAAACAAGCGGATGAAGAAACCATCCAGTGTCTGTGACTTGGCGGGAACGTAATTATCTCGTGAAGACGTTGGTGATCAGATCTGAGGCCTCTTGCACCAAACTACCTAGCTAGGTAAAATCGAAAAACCGGTTTCAGAATAAGCTAATCTAACGGTGGTAAATTTGTTTGCAATAGCCCAATACATAATCCTACATGTGCTTGCTAAATTTTGCACGCAAACTGTTACATTTGAGGCTTGGACTGGGTATACGATGCAAAATAATCCAAGCATTGGTGCAAGAGGATTTTGGTGCAAGAGGCCTCAGATGTATTCACAGCACATCCACAGCACTGTGGCTTTTTAGTGTTGCATGCCATATCAGCATGAGCAGCATGTCATATCAGTCATATCAGCACGATGTGTCCATGTTCAATTTCATCACCGTTCCCAGCTGTCCGTTTTCATTACCAGTATCCGTTATCGTTCTTATATATCTATCACTGTTCTCAGAAATTAAATGCCGTTCTCAGATGCCCGTTCTCAGCTGTTCGTTACCGTGCTCAGATACCATTGCGTATCAGCTTACTAGATACCATTGTCTAGCTGCCCGTTTTCTTTCCCAAATATCCGTTGCCGTTCTGAGATTTCCGTTTCTTAGCTCTGACTGATTGCTTCCTCAGAGTGCCGCCGAGACTCGGCCGGCTCCCGGCGCCGGCGCTCGGCCCGCCGGCGGCGGCAGGCGCCGGGGTTTTTCTGCGGTGCCACACTCATCTCGGAGCGCTACATGCTGACGGCGGCCCACTGTATCACCGAGGAGCGGCCCGTGAACGTGGTCCGGCTGGGCGGGTTCGCGCCCACGGAGGACGGCACGCCCACTCAGTCCGTCGACTATCCCGTGGAAAAGGTGCGCGGAACGGTCAGCCCCTCGGCCGGTATATGTAGTGTCAGAACATTGGGGATAATTGATGCATACTTGGGACTCGGCCTGGAGGTTGTGTTTTATGTTCCCAGTACGTGTGCACGTCTCTCTTACGTTTACGAGTATTACGGCATTTTCTATGTGCATTTACGTCTTTCTTTCACGGTTACGTCCCGCTCCCGTACCCCAACCCTCCGTAACCGGCCCCCGTCTCCCGTCAGATCACCACACACCCGCTGTACCGGTACCCGGTGTTTTACCACGACCTGGCGCTGATCCGACTCGGCCGGCCGGTCACATTCACACCCACTGTGCGGCCCTACTGCCTGGCGGCGCCTCACCAGGACCGGCCCGGCACCGACGCGCACGTGGCAGGAATCGGAGCAAAGGAGTTCGGTACGGGACGGACGTAATGGGGCGGCGCAGCGGGTCGACGACACGTGGTGTCTAGTGCAGCTGTCTTTTTCATTGAATGTAGTGGAGTTGATTTTTTTTTTTGTCAGATTTCAGTCAGGTACTTGACGCTCTGCCGATAATAATTCGCTATTCTCATGCCCCTCCCAGCCTCTTATCTCAGCGTCTTACCCCTCTCCTCCCTCCGACAGGCGGTAAAGTCGGCGACGTGCTGCTGGAGGCGCCGCTGCCGATCGTCTCGGCCGCCGAGTGTCTGACAAACCTGACTGGCGGCCGCACCACGCTCCAGCTGCCCCAGGGGATCACGGACGGCCTGCTGTGCGCCGGCGGCGGCGAGTCCGGCCACGACGCTTGCCAGGGCGACTCGGGCGGACCGCTGCGCGTCGAGACTGACGACGGGCCGCGGCTGGTCGGCGTCGTGGCCGCCGGGGAGGGCTGCGCCGCGCCCGGAAAGCCGGGGCTTTACACGCGCGTGTCGCATTACATCGACTGGATCGACGGCATCGTGTACGGCGATGGATAACTTCGGGCATGGGCGACTGTCCTGACCGGCGTATGGAGGCTGCTGAGATAGGCACCAGGATACCGCGCGGTGGCAGCGCTCAACTGAATTGTCAGAGCTGGCTGACCTACCGTCGGGAAGACGACTTTTCGAAGCACGTTCAGTGTGCTCATGTTTGGCTGATGATGTATAGCATTGCGCCCAGATACTACTGTGCATAAGTCGTGTGTGTATATATTATATTAACCCGCATAAGTACTTACAGGATCAATAAATTACAAACTGAATAATCTTCAAACCGTCCAATCTTGTGGCGGACCAGCAGCAAGAAAGAGAATCGCCATCCGGGTGGGAGGAAGACCGGTGCTAGGGAGAAGAGACTTAGCCAGAGTTTCCAATAACTGCTCCTTTTCATGTTTTACATTTCAGAACTCTTAAAATGTCTTTCAATCACGAAATTGAGCTTCAGGCTTTCGTCGTTCACATTTGGTCGTGAGAGCTGATAACACAGTTAGGGCCCACAAATAATATAGCTGCGGCGTCCATCTTCCATTGTGTGCAAAACGGCGCGCAAACCGCGCCAGAATTCTAATGTGCGCCTTGTGAGGGAAACACGGCTCTCTCTATCGTCTGGAGGTTTCGAAAGATGCTCTCCAGAGATGGCGCTAGTAAATTTGGCTGACATGACGTCATGCTAAAAAGTGATGGGTTTTGTGAGAGCAAATGTAATAATAGTTGAAAATTTTGTACTTTTGCTTAATTAAGAAAAAATAAATATACAATTATTCAAAACAGCGTTTTCCTCATTCATCCTTCATTGTTTTAAGAGGGATATAGACAGTTTAAATATTTTTTCTTGACCGCAATTCGCACACGCACTAAATAAAAAGCTGGAGTTTTGTGCGTTCGTAAATTGTGATTTGAGAAAATAAGTTGACAATAATCTTTTGCACTTTTGCTTTACAATCATTTTTCAATGCAGATAAATGCATAAATTATTCGAAAATAGGCATATCTTTGAAATATTATGATTTTCCACAAGCAAATTTTCCCAAAAACTTGAACTACTTACAACTGACGAACGCATCCAATAATCTGGATGTCTTAGGATGAGTTCGTCATTTTTTTCCAAGGAAATACGATACAGTTCAAGCTACTTTACCGATTTATTAGGGTACTTTTGCCAATGAATTAATAAATCAATGACAACAATCAATCTCATTATCAACCATACTTGGAAGAATTTTCTTCGCATAAGCGCGAACACATCCGCGCTTTCATGAAAAGTCACGCCTGTAGATGTCAGGACTGCTGCTTTATGTTTCGCAAGGTGGCGCAGCGCGCAGGGTACCGACTACCGAGGCTGAGGTCTCCAGACTCTCCACCACGATTTAACTTGGAAATGGCCGATGGGGAAGGTCTCACCCAAAAACGGACGCCCTTTTACACAACTGCATAAAGAGAATGAATTATTGGCATAGCTGACCACACGTCCCCTCCCCCTCTCCGCCCCAGCTCAATAGGAAATATCGCCTATTTTCCGTAGTCAGTTATATTCTGACTAATTTCTCACTATTCCCAGTAAACCTTAACATGCATGATGCAGATGTCCACTGCGTAAGTCGTGTGCTTCCGTAAGTGTGCCAACTATATAGTGTTGCCTACACTCTACAGTGCCTACTGCTTCCCCATTGTCGTTATAATTGGTGATTCTCAGGTCAAAAGTTACACAGTGGTCTCAGAGAACAATCGTTTCAACAAATTAACGATTCAAACCGTTGCATTCTACTGATATTCCGGTCAGTTCTGCTACTAAACGATTCCGGCAAAACACTCTTTAGGTTATGTGTTATGAGGTTATCGGTGGAGCCAACAAATAACAAAATGTACTTACTTTTATTGACGTTTCGGTTTCAAACAACCTTCGTCAGAATAGAATTACAAGTTACGTCTCATATTTCAAAAATGCACATATTTCAAACACACTGAGAACATAGCAGAGATAAATTCAAACTGCGTCAACACTGGCTATGTTTAAAGTCTTCGTGGAACGTGACTTGAACGTGAATTTATCTCTGCTATGTTCTCAGTGTGTTTGAAATATGTGCATTTTTGAAATATGAGACGTAACTTGTAATTCTATTCTGACGAAGGTTGTTTGAAACCGAAACGTCAATAAAAGTAAGTACATTTTGTTATTTGTTGGCTCCACCGATAACCTCATAACACAAATATGTCCCTAAATAATCAGCATCTGTCTTTAGGTTATGTATTAGCGAACCACCACACAAAATTCGCCCAATCAATGGTCAGTTATTACTGCTGGGCTGAACCGTCATACGCTATATAGCCTATTGCAGTCAATATTTTCAGAACGATACTGACTGACGAAACACAACGTATTCGCGGATTCGCACATACGTTGGCACCCAGGTGGCCTGTCAGCAGCCGCACAAATCCGCACAGCGCAGCCGGGATTTGACATTGAGATGGTACACCGTAAAGCATGCCTTTCCACACAGGCACAAGCACAGGGACACAAATTCTCAAAATCCAAACTTATTCCAATACTGGTCAATTACGAATAGGCATAAAGTTTTGAGGTTTTCTCATGTTCATTCTTCTTTCAACACACGCGGCAGACTGCAGCAGCTGCAGAACATCTCACAGAGCTGCGCTGGATGCAGTCATGAGCTGGGACACGGTTTGTGACCAATGACCGATCGGGGGTGCCAGCCTCCTCCCGGCACGCGATGCACTGGCCGCCGCGCAGTCGATGTCGGGGCACCGCCGGCATTCGCCGACAGGGTTCCATCCGATTCGGTGTATTGGTGGCAGCCCGAACAGTGACCCACGCGAAGCTGGCGGACGTCGATGGCCGATGAGCGATGCCCTTCCGCGACCGGCGGTGGCAGTCGGTCCCACATCAAGAACAGATACCAGTCATGCGGTCAGTCGGCGACGGCGCTGTCGCGAGCCGATCTGATGGTCGCGCGGTGGGCGTTGCCGACGTCCACCGGGACCGTCGACTGGGGGAGCGCGGCCGCCTCTTGGCCGCCGCCTCTGGTCGGCGAGCTCGTTGCGCTGTGGGACGGCATCCACTGCAAGTCGTTCACTGTGAAGCGGTCGTTTGACCGGACCTGGCAGGCGGGGAAAGGGGGCCTCAGATGAAGTAAAACCATCCCTCAGGCCAGCTTGAACTGGCTCTCCACCTCACCATGTTAGATAAGCGGACACCCTCGTGATCATCGCAGCGATGATTGCCAATTGGTGTGTCATTATGGGAGAGGATGCCAGCCTCCTTTGCAAGATAGTCTGCCTTTAATATAGTGCAGCCCGACCCATTGCCTGTGGCGCAGACTGGGCTTGATAATGCAGTGCAAGACACACCAAACGTAAGCGGCCATCTGTACCCCCTGTGCAGTAGGGCTGACTCAAGAGCCCAGAGTTGCCCTCCCCCCACCATTCTGTGCACGTGATAACTGGATGGGACATGCCATGGTCAGCATCTGTTCAAAAGCTGCCCTAAGCATGTAAAGCTCCACTGGCATGCTCAAGCATGGTCACAGTCAGTTCTCACTTCTCAGTTGAACCTCCAATGGAAACCCATCACAAAGTAGAGATCAGGGCACCTCTCACACTGCAGCACACTCAACGACTGAGGCACCATCTCATCACTTGCAGGTGGTTCTTGCCAGGAGCAATGCCAGCCACGCACATCAGGTGATAACAGCAGTGTACAACTGCAATCTACAAGCATCCATGTTCTTTCTGGTTTTCTCCTGTTGAGATCCACTGCCATGCATGAACTTGATGGGCTTTTGTTGCGCTCCTCCCATGTGCAGACAGGTTTCTGCTGAAACAAAGCAAAGCAAATGTGATTAATAATGGCCCTGTTTCACCATCCAGACACTGTGTGCACTGGTAGCTACGGCATACCATAGCATCACTCAAATGACGTTGCATGTGATCTCTTAGTTTATGATCAATCGCGTTTGGAACAGAGTGAGAGGTTCTGAAAAACCGTACCAAGAACAGAGGTTTGAGTTCAAATACTGCTAGCATGCTGCTGGTGCTGGTACCGCAGCGTGCAGCGTTCTGGGATGCTGTCATAGCTTAGCGTCACAGTGAAGTTTGTTGACACTGCCATGGAAACCCAATGCTCTGACACACGCAGCGCACTGCAGTGCTGAGCACTGCAGTGCGTGCTCTGCCGTGAAACACCACCCATGAACGTTGGTTGCATGACCAGGATGGAGCAGTGTGGCAGACAGTGATTTTAATTTTAATTGCACTTCCTAGAGATTAAAATGTTGTTGGTGAAATTGCTATTCATTATTCCTATTACCATTGTCTAAATTTCACATTTCAAGACAGCATCAGCATTGACATGTTATATAAAATAAGGTTTAGACTTCAGGTGGTCCCGGGTTCAGCTATTAAGTAAAACAAGGGCAAAAAATTGTCAAAATTTAAAAAAATACCTGCCTTCATCAACACCTCATCTAATCTAACCTCATCCTCATCTAACAAGGCCCTAAAAGCAAAAACCGTTTGAATAACAATGTAATATTTTGCAACCGCTGCACCATTACTGTCAAGTACGCTATCCCTAGATTGGTTGCTGGTAAGTAGTGGCTGTCGTCATCAACTCGTCATGCAGCAGCTGATTGGGATGGGCGGGGCCTATTTTTATCCAGGCGATAGAGAGAGCCGGGAAACACTCATGAATATTTGCTTTCTATAATAAAAGCAAGAATAAAAGCTAATTTTCTGTGTCTATTTTCGTATGCTTCTGTAAAATTTGTTTGTTTTTGTGCCCTAGGAACTGTGATTTTGATTTCTCAAAGGATGCAGTGAGGTGGGTGATGGTGTTGTGTTTTCAAGCATCAGGATCAGGATTGAGATTTATTCAGAGCTTAGCCTTACTTAGGCATAGGTGTAGCAACGTATCTCTTTGGTGAAGGATACCTTTCACCAAAGTTTTAGATTGGTGAAGGATCCTTCACCAATCTTGAGCAATGCAGGTGAGGGTCTTCACCAATGCTAGAACGACTGGGTTCAACAAAAAGGCTATTGCTAAAACGGCAACAGGTACCCAATTACCCCATCCTATCAGTTATGAAGTGTTATGCCCACCTTCTTCACAATTCACGCCATTTAATAAACCAGTATAACGCCTTTTGGGGCGACTAACGGAGCGAGCGAGAGGGTGAGCTTTGCACGTGCGAAATTTCGACGGGGTACCTCCAGCTGACTTGTGCACGGCACCCTACTAACCGGTCTCTAGCGATGTGCCAAATTTGAGCACAATCGGCCCAGTCGTTCAGCGTTCTCGAGATCTGGAAGCGGCACCCTGCACGTGCGCACGTGCAAAATGGGTCCCAACTGACTTTTGCACGGCACCCTACTAACCGGTCCCTAACTGTTTACCAAATTTGAGCGCCATCGGTCCAGCCATTGTCGAGATCTGGAATCGACCCCTGCACGTGCGCACGTGCAGCAGCACCCCAACTCTGGCACATGGATATGCATTGCCTAGTGGGTGCCTACCTACATGCCAACTTTCAGCGCAATCGGCCAAGTAGTTACCGAGATATTGCAACAATTACAAAAGTGACACCTCTTCGTTTTGCACGTGGCACGTGCATAAGGGGTCACCCACATGCATCGGGAATAGTCCAATACTTGGTAGAAGGAATGAAGCTACCGTACAAAAATTACCGCGTGTAAATCGGTCAAGTGGTTGCTGAGATATAAGCGTCGCAGAACCGTGACCGCGGCCGGCCGGCCGACCGGTCGGCCGGCCGCTCATACTCAGAAATTTCCGTCAAAGGGACCCTCCCACCTTCAAAAAAGTTAATGAATTGGCATGAAAGTGATGTCACTCGGTTCAGAAAGAGCAAAAACGAATATCTACCAAATTTCATCGAAAAATATTCACATTAGACTTTTACTTTTGTTTACTTTTTGGGATCTCCGCTGTTCCTAGCGACTTTATTTGAAAGTGCGGCATTTGTTGCGCGCAAAGCAGCATATACCACCGCGTGCTACAAAACGTTTTAGTCAAACATTTAACGGACGTTCGAAAGCCTGATGACGTCATCAGATTCCCGTAATGGTTAAGAGATAGGGACCACGCTGGTCCCACCCTGCAAGTAAAGGGAAGAAATTTCTTGAACACCATAAAGCTGCGGGGGTTGCGACCAGGATAAATGGTGGTTTCTGAGCCTGGCCGCAAACTTGGCTATCTCAACTCAAAACTAATGTTAAGGTGGGAGGGTCCCTTTAATCTCAGTAAATGCCGTGAATATCAAAATATATTGGCTTGTGCTTGTTTTTACTCGTGGGAAAGTTGTAAGACTTTGGTCACGAAAAAAGAGCAGTGGAGCATACCTTTAGGTTCCAAAGGTATGCTTGGATAGTGGATACCTTTGGTAGGTATCCAAAGGTATGCTTGGATACCTAAAAATTCAATTTTAGGCATGTACTGAAAAGTTGGCGTTAATTAGATGATAATGGCGTGAGACATTTGCGAGAAAAAAAACAGGAGTTGACGAAATTCCCCCCCCCCCCCTCCCCCCTCCACTGCGGTAAGGTCCTGCACCTTCTCCGAAGGTTCAGGTGACTTCTCCGAGGGTTCAGGTGACATCCTTCACCAATATTTTTGGCGCTCCTACACCCATGTACTTAGGAATACAAATTGGAGGCCAAACAATAAAGCACATGAATAAAAATTGATGGCTTATACTGAAGCTATGTAACATCACAAATAAAACATTTTACAATTTACATAGTTTGAGGTTTAGCACAGCACAGAACACCAATGTCAGCTCGTAGAATGAAAACGGGAAAACAAACCAAAAAGAAATAACTAGAAATGTAAAATATGTCTGGGAAAATTATACAGAATTTATCGAATACAAGTGTAATTTATTGGAGTATTGGTTTGTGCATCAAAAAAAGGGTTGGTTTGATATCACTTTAAAAAGGTAAACTTAAAATTGATCATGAGCTCTAATTGAGTAGTTATGCGTGATTCCACTTTTCATTTTGGCATTCTTTTCTCATTTTCTCATTCTTTTCAAATAAGAATGAGAACTGAATCTTTGAGACATGATAGAGGACAGAGGCCAATACCAATGCCAGGCTGAGCTATCAACATAATTGCAATTTTAGTTTAGCCCCAGCTTGAGCTTCACTTTTGATTCTACTTTTTTGTGTTCAGTCTTTTTCTTAGCATAGGATTAATGTGGGGACTTGTGTCAAGTCACAGTTTCAAATATTTGGTTATTGAATGAATCTTGTTTCATTACTCACCCATGCTCTTGCTACTCTTAGTTGAGGTGCTAATACAATAATTTGTGTGACAGGAGCGTTTGGGACAAAGATATCTTGTAGTATTTGCATTATACATGAGTGAAAAATGTGAAACAAAGCAATATAAATGCAACACATCTTTAAGAGAATTATCTCCCATAAGTAAACTTCAAGTGCAAATGAAAGAAATCACCATGTTCCATTTCAGGTCGGCTGATGGAGGATGATGTCAATCAGGGCGGCGGCGGTGGCGAGCAGAACGGGCGTGTCAACGGCGCCGTCGGCGGCCGTCCGACCCCATCCCCGGCGGGCGGCGCGCGGCCCAAGCAGCCCTCCAGGCCGCGGCCGCCTCCGCCCACCGAGGAGAGTGACGACGAGCCCCCGTCGCCGGCCGCGGCGCGGCGCGTCAACGGCCGTCCCGACCCGCGCCTGCTGCTCAGCCACAGCGCCAGCGAGTCCGACTGCGCGCTGGACGAGTGTGTGTACACGTACAAGGGCGACCGGCCGGCAGACGTGAACCGCAACCACCACCGGCCGCCGGCGCCGCCGCCGCCGCCGGCCGGCGGGCGCGTCTCGCCCGACCTGGACTTTCTCGAGATGGACTTTGACCCGAGTGCGTTCGATACGAGCGAGGATGAGCTGGAGGTTCCGGCGGCGGCCGGCTGGACGGCGGAGGACGGCAGCTCGCCGCCGCCCCTGGCCAACGGGCCGCCGCCGCTCGAGTCGCCGTCCCCGCCCCCGCCCCCGCCGCAGCACCCTCCCCCGCCGCCGCTGGTCGCCGACGAGGCGCCGCTGGAGGTGGTGTCGTCCCCGTCGCCGTCTCCGCCGTCTCCGGCGGGTAGCAGCCGGTCTTCTCAGAGCTCCGGGTCGCGCACGCCGTCCCCCTCGCCGCCCAGCTCCCGGGCGAGCTCGCCGGGCGCGGCGGCGGCCGCGGCGCCCGCCGAGAACGTCAAGTTCAACCGGCTGTCGGCGGCCGGATCCAACTCGGACGACAACCTGCGGTACAGTGACACCGGCAGCCCGGACAGTAACGCGGCCGAGGCGCGGCCCGGCCGCCGGCCCGCTGAGCACAAAGTCACCAACCGGCGCCTGGTGCGCTACAACCTCAGCTCGAGCAGCGCCCCGGCGGCCCCTCCGGCGGCTGCCGAGCTGCCCCCGCGACTCCCTCACAGTCGCAGCGAGCACAGTGCCGTGGATGGCGGCTCGGACAAGTACCGGCACTGCTGCAGCAACGACCTGAGCGACCGCCAGCCGGGCGGCTGTCACGACCGACTTCGGCGCCGAGAGAACTCGGTGTTTAACATCCCCGGAGGGGGAGGCGCCGGCGACCCCAACCTGCAGCATGATGGCTGTCACGGCGCGCCAGAAAAGGCCTTCATGGCGCGCAAAGGCGCCGCCAACGCTGCCGACTCGGGGCTGTTTGAGGTGAGAGATGCGCTTACTGCTGAAGAGCTGCTGAGAGGAATGCAGTGACTCAAAGTGTTCTGGTGTGACTGACGGGTCTTGGTAGAAGGCATGATGATGTGTTGATTGTTTATCCAGGCTACACATTTCTATTGTCACGATCGTAGAAATGAATGGTTTCCGTTCCATGTCGAACTAGCTAGGTAATGATTACTGTTCCTGAGAAAGGGCCCATTGTGTTATCGTGGTTTGCAGCTATTTCTTTGTCATATCCTTATATCGTGCTTTCGTGGCTCTGCATCATGTGAAAAGTCTGACATCGAGCCACCTGGCTTTGTCTGCCTCTTTCGTGCATCGCTTTGGATGGATTTTTTTTTTGTACATGATTGACGTGTCTGCAGTCCATGTGACAATTTTGCTAGAATCCAGCTCTCTTGAAGGTAATATCTGCTGTGACTTTCGGTTGTCATGTTTCCTTCCTAATTTAATTGTGGACTCTGAAGCAATAATCTGACCTGGTACCTCTTATCTCCTCAGGTACCCTGGTATCTATACCTCTATCAGAATGGCTGTGATCTCTCTGAGACGGCGATGATCTGACAGTCTGTGTTGTCCCTCTCCGTCAGAATGGCTGTGATCTCTGACCATATCTGACAGTGTCTCCTGTCCCTCTCCGTCAGAATGGCTGTGATCTCTCTGAGAAGGTGATGATCTGGACCGAAATGGAGGCCTTCACGCGGCAGGTGACGCAGATCGCCCGGTCCGCCTGCGGCGCCACTGCCGTCATCAACGTGTTGGTAAGTGACCGTCCAGCGCCCGCGCCGCCCTGTCTGGGCCCCGGCGAGACAGACCCGCGCCGCCCCGAGCTGGCACCCGGCCAAATGGGAGCAGCCGCCGCGATCGACTCCAGTCCTGCATTTTGTACGACACAGCGGGCCACCGTCAATGCCACGCCGCAGAATTTACTCACCGGTTATGGCGGCGTTTCGATCGGTCCGGCTATAACACTCCGGCAATTATCTGGGGTGGACCGTCTGTCTGTCCTTCCTGTGCTGTTCCCGGTGGTGCTGGACGATTTTAGTGGTAGCACATTGGATCTTCGTCGTAATGGCCGCTGTTCTTATTGTTACGGTCTCGTGACAGCTTGATATTCAATTATAGCCATATGTTTCGCCTACCTAGTTATATAGTGTCCGTATGGTGATTACTGGTTAAGTTCTAATAAGTTATTGTGGTTTGAAGGATAGTGGCGACGCGAAAAAAAAACATACCGTAAGCAAACACCAATAGGTTGAGAAGCATAACATCGGAACCATGAACGTATTTTGGCTATCGATTACCACGTGTTCCCCAATCTGCCCACTCTCCCGTGTCCGCCCCGTCGACCGCTGACCCTCCCTGGGTCTCTGTTCGTCAGCTGGCGCTGGGCTACCAGCCGGACCCGGCGGCGGCAGCGGCGGCCGTCAGCACCCGGCTGCGCCGCGAGGCGGCCCCGCTGGCCGACTACCTGTTCTCCCGGTCGGAGGCCGGTTGTACACACACGCAGCTCATCGAGGGCGTCGAGACGCTCAGTGGCGGCGAGGTGAGAGGCTAGGAGAGGGGAGGGTTGGCGGTGTAAGAGTACAACAGGCGAGGGAAAGGCAGGAGGGAGTGTAGGGTCGATATGGATCAGGGCTCGACATAGCCAGGACAGAACAGCGACTAATTAGGTTGTTATGTGGTGTAGCCGACCGCTGGAGATTACTTGAACTTGGAGCTCCCAGTTCTAACTGACGTGTGGATGTTTGGAGGCTGTCGGTAGAAGTCCTCGACCCGCACCTATCGGGAATACGGCACCCTCAGGAAGCCTGAATTACATTCCTTCTCACTAGATGACGCGCGCGTCTGTACACAAGCCGCCGTGTGGCATTGGGATCCCTCCGACACGCCGTGTGTGTGTGAGTTGGTGGTGGTGGGGGGGGGGGGGTAGCCGTGACGTGTGTAAGGACAGCCACGTCAGCGTATGCTCAGGTGGACACCTAGTGTCATGACCCGGGCGGTGTTTCACGGCCGCTGCTGCCACGCTGCCAGCGCATTTCGCGAACTGACGTAGGCTGTGGTCAAGTCACTCAATGTTGGAGCGTCCGAGTTTGTTGATGTCTCCATGGAAATCGAATTCGCCACGTGTGCTGGCAGTGTGCTAGCAGGCAGCAGCGGCCATAAACACTGCCCCGGGCTCTCAGCGGGGTGCAGGGGAGAGTTGAAATAACTTGCAGAGTTTGTGAATGAATTGTGATCGGGTTTCAGCTCTTTTTTGGTACCTGTATTTGGTATATTTTCGCTGTCAGCTATAAAGCAATAGGTAGCTTCAGTTGTCCAACATATGAGCACATACATCACTAGTAAAATATCGATCCGTCTTCGTCACAGCGAGCTGTCTGTCGACACTTCTCCACAGCTCAGCATCAAGCTCAAAATATGAAACTGCTACCCGATATAATGACTCAGTCATCCAGAGTTTCCGAAGCATTGACTGATCAAGATGACCTCCTCTGGGACTGACTGACTAGTAACAGTCGCACAGTCGCAGCAGTTCGATCACTCGCGGAGTCGTGCTCCGTTCCTGGATCGGGCTGAGACGCTCCCAGTACCGGGAAGGCGGTCTGTTTGGTCTCGGATCAGCGGTATCGTGCCCGGCCTGACGTGGGACGGACTTTGATCGGTCGGGCTCCGCAGCTCCGGCAAATCGCGCTTCCGGGGATTAGTGTATGTAGGACTGAGGAATTTAGTAGCCGAGTCACCGCAGAGGTTCGCACGAACCCGGGATCGTGTCATCAGTCCCCGTGCTGCCTTTTGTTTTTGTTTGGGAACTGAAGCTGTTCGGCCGTTTATGCACGGTGGCATTATATGCTTCTCTTTACGACTGAGATAAGACACGACTTACTCCCGTTTCGGTTTGCTTCTTAGAGACTATTATTAGCAAATTCCCTTGCATCTGCTGCACGTGTTGGGGCACAGGTGTTCTTTCCGTGTAGAAGCGGTTGCAGTACCGACCTGCGTGATAAAGTCTGTACGTGTCCCGGCCGCACGCGGCTCTGACAGGCCGCACATGGCCGTCCCGGTGTCGGCCTGTCTGGGCAGGTGTGTGTACGACACTCGGCCGATCGGGGCCCTGTCTGACACAGCTGCCCCCCCCCCCTCCCCGAGCTGTCCCCCCACCCCCGGGGCGGCACACCTGGCGTCTGTGCCGCGGACCCGGGCAGCGACAGGGAGACCCGGGGCAGGGATGGGACGGGATGGGTAGCGACATGGAGACCGGGGCAGGGATGGGATGGGACGGTGAGACCTCGTGTGAGAGAGCAATGGCACAAGCATTCAACTTCATACGTTTTTTTTTTTTGTCAGTCTTCATGCATTTTTTATGAGTATTTCTCTACAACATTCCATCTTCGGTCTTCACCCTCCTCTGACACCCCTTTCCCCTTCTCCCCCGCCCTGTTTCCAGGTGTGCGGCCGGTTTTTCTGCATGTACCCGCGGCGCAGTTTCCAGCTGGTGCGGTGGCTGGCCGGCTGGCTGCGCCGGGGCGCCGTGCCGGTGGCCACGCTGAACCTCCAGCGGGGCGTGCCGCCGCAACAGACCGTGCCAGACGCCTGGCATCACCAGATGGCCTTCGGAGTCGGGCCGCAGGTCAGTAAGAGGATGCTGGGGAGTCGGGCCGCAGGTCAGTCGGGGAACGCTATGGAGTCGGGCGCCGGGTCAGTCGGGGGCACCGGTGGTTCTTTTCCAAAATTGGTATAGCACGGGCGTCCCAGATGGAACTCAACTCAACGTCACCTACGTACTGTAGGAATTGTGGAATGTTGGTATCTGCTTGGACGTGAAGGACAGTGAGTAAATTATCGTGTCCGTAAATTTGTTATGTGTTGGCATAAACAACGCGTCAGTTCCCTTTGGCGGGCTGTTGCTCCGGAGCGGTGCGTGTTGCGGAGGTGAAAATTTGGCGCCGAGTCGGGCGCGTGCAACCATTTGTCGTATTAAATTTTGGTGGGGGTGGGCTCGGCGGTTTGCACGTGGTGGGCGCATCTTTGCGGGAATTCGGCCGCGGCCGGCGCCGATCAGAGAGCACGCGCCTTAGGCTCAGTTTCCTCGTTTGCAAAACTGAGCGAAATCAGAGCTGGGAAGTCGTTGACCTTTGGCAATGAACACCGGCGCAGGGCACCGCCGGCCAAGAGAAGTCAACACATTTATTCTTGTGATAACTCGGCCCCTACTGGGCCGATTTTATTGAAAATTGATTTATTACGCTGCGCGTAATGCTGTCCCTCTAGTCTAAAGGAAAAATGGTCATTCTCCCATGTTCATCCATTCTGAGCGTGATCTGAGCGTTCTCTGTAGCCTATACCATTCACAATTCTGTCTGGGGTAGCTCGATATGTGCTTTTCCCGCCCACTTATCGCCCTCACGGCGTGTGCGGTAGATTGCCGCGCACCTGTGCGTATCCCCGATCGACGCCAGTCGGAGGGCGGGGGCCGCGGCGCTCCGTACTGCCGATTGGTGTGCGGCACGGGCGCCCCTCCCTCCCTCCCCGTGACGGGGGGGGGGGGGGGGCGGCTGGGAGGTTTATGGCTCTGACTAGGAGAACAGGCGGTATCGTGCCGGGACGGGACAGGGTCGACTGCCGGTGACACCAGCTGACCTGGGTGTGTCTTGAGATGTCTCGAGGGCGCATAGAATAGCGTTAGCCCATTTGTTCAGGCTCCTTGATCTTTAGTATGTGCTTATACACTTTGTTTTTTTTTTCTCTCTCTCTCTCTAGTCTTGACGTCTTTCCAACCACACATCACATTGGATATCTTCAACTGTTCTTTTTTACATCTTTTTCATCTGTGTTTGAGGAATTTATGTACAACCCGCAGGAGTTAATCTGGCGTTCTCAGTGTACGTCCACACGTCTTTTCTCTCCCAGGGCAACTGTGTGGGTGAGCATCTGCGTCTGTGTGTACCTGACCCCCGCCTCTCCACCAGGGTGTGTACCTGACCTCCGACCCCCGGCCTCTCTCCAGGGAGTGTACCTGACCAACCCGCTGGAGTGCGTGTCGGCCTCCCTGCTGGGTGAGCAGCTCTCGAGCGACTCGGTGCTGCTGGTCCGCAGTGAGGACGTCACCGCCCGGTGGCGGCACGGCTGCTCGCTACAGCCGCTCATGACGGCCGAGGACCCCCGCTGGAGCAACATGAACGTGCTAGGTACGGAGCGTGGGAGTAGGGGGCTTCGGGTTCTTGTAGTGTTTCCCCAGCCAGTTGCGTCATCCTCTGTTTAACCTTCTCTCTTATGCCGATAGATTCTTGCTTATCTTGGGTGTCGATGACCTCGGGCACTTCGGGAGACCTAAAAACCCAAGCATCCTCATCTTGGTCATAGTATGTTGCTGACGTGTCCATCTCCCCGCCCCTCGCGGCCACCTCGTCTGACCGTCCGTGTGCCCGCCCCGGTGTCCGGCAGGCCAGGTGGTGAACGTGCTCCGCGAGGCGTCCGACCCGCCGCCGCCGGGCGTGCGGCGCGCGCTGGCCGCGCACGTCACCATCCCGGCCTGGTACCGCTCGGGCGTGACGCTGTTCGTGCGCCGCTCCTCGCCGCACTGCGCCGACCTGCTGCGCGAGCCCGAACTGCCGCGACTCGAGGACTGCTAGCCGGCCAGCGACCGACGACGGCCGAAACTCAGCCGCCGCACCAGCCCGCAGCGCCCGGTCGGACTTCGCACGTGAAAAACTGCAGGATTTCGAACGGGAAAATCATCTGTGATGGAATGTTTCTTTCTTGGATTGGTTGTAATGCGGGGAAATTGGTTGTAATGCGGGGAAAGAAACTGAACAGTGGAAGGTTCTGGAGCTTTCGATTTATGAACGCCTTGTGGGTCGCTGTAGACGGAGTGTGGGACTCTGAGAAATTGTGCTGCTGTACGGCGGGCGCCGGTCGTTTTTCGCAGCGGGCCGGTCTCCGAGTCGCTCTCTGCCATGTCTCGTGCTGCCAAGTGTGTACCGGCCGTCGGGGAAGATGGGTCCTTCATTGTTTGTGTATATTGCAGATCATATATTTATGTGCGCCGTAATGCTCTATGCAAAGTGTGTTTGTGTAAATATAACCCGCCATATCGACAGTGTCTTTGATGATATTTTATTAAAACAACTTCGGATTCCCAGGCTAGCATCGGGCCGTTGTTTGATGCACCCAGTCGCGCGAGACGTGAGCGAGGTGAACTGGCCCCCATTTGACACAATCTGTCATACTCGCCACCACATCAGTGTAAGCAATGCGTAATAATCCATTCATGTGCTGGCTGTATGCTATTGTCCTGTCGGATGCTCGGCAACGGCAGTGATCCACCTGATCAACCTCGAGGCTGCTACTCTACTGTTAACGCCAGACCCCTTGAGACCCTAATTTTTCGCGATTACTTTTAAATGCGTGAAGGAATTTCAACCAAGCTCAGGACATGGCCGTTTCAAGACAGGCCGAAACTTTTACAATTTAGATATTTTATCGCCATTTCAATATTTCAGGCACTTGTCATTGACTCGTAATGTTAAATTTCGAGCAAGATTTTCATCCGGTGTGTAGAGGCTATCACCAGTCAGTCTGTGATACGTTATGACGTCACAGCTAAGCCCCGCCTCTGTGGTCTTGGCCTGCGGCGGTTTCGGGCCGGCGCCCGGTCACTCTCGCTGTGGCGGGGAGCGGGGACGGGCGACGGTCGAGCGGTGCCGAAAGCCGGCGGAGTTGTGCGTAGCGTCTTGGCTGACAGTGCCCAGAGAGCGACATGATGACTAAGGAGTCATAAATGCTCAATGCGCATTGCTTCTACAATGCTGATATGTTCGCTGATATTTTTTTTTTTTATAAGCTGCATATGACGGGCAGATGGCATATAACTGACATAAGGTTAGGAAATATTCACCTGTATTTAAAGCCTATGGCGTTGCAGATAATGTGATAATGGGATGTCGGATGTCACCAAGTAGCTGCCGATTTGTACATCGCTATGCAACCATCGAACAACGCAATAATAAGTTAATTGCCTGAGCTTCACATTATACGGCTCGCTCGTACCTATTTCAAACAGATACCCTACATCGAAAATCGTATTTGTTAGGAATCGTTAACGTTTGTTCGAAGCACGACTGAGTAGTAGGTTGAGGAGTGATGGTCCTCTTGGTCCTATATACAAGAGTCAACAAGAGCCTAACATTTACTTGACCGTCTTGCTGCAATTGACTCATAGCACGTGAAGCGTCAGCGAAATTCATAGTCCTTCACAGATGGCAGGGGTGTCGTTTGTACAGAGGTCGCTGATGGGCACGGGTCAATGCCGCAGTCGTGGGCGGAGCCTAATGTCATATGACGTAGAAAGCCTCTATCCAGGATGGAAAAACAGTTAACATTACGAGTCAATGACAAGTGCCTGAAATATTGAAATGGCGATAAAATATCTAAATTGTAAAAGTTTCGGCCTGTCTTGAAACGGCCATGTCCTGAGCTTGGTTGAAATTCCTCCACGCATTTAAAAATAATCGCGAAAAATTAGGGTCTCAAGGGGTCTGGCGCATTTCAGTTGCCAAGAAATGCGCCAGGTTCCGTTCCATAGGTTCCGCATTTCAGTTGCCAAGTTGTAGGTACCTGCTTGCCGTCTTTTCGAAAAGCAATCAAAAGACATCGGCAAGAAATTACGCTTAAGTCTTTTTCTGTATCCTCTTAGTCTTCTTAGTCACTAAAATGACATATTTTTCACAATGATCGGAAAAAAAAAACGAGGTGACACTTCAAATGAGTCGGCGAATTTTGAAATAGCAGCCTCATCTCGAAGCCTCCATCAGGGCCAATCAGCTGTTTCAGGCTTTGTGTTGATGTATCACGGAGACGTTTGCTGCGTAGTCTCTGCTGCTGCGCCATTCCGTATTTGTTTTCCTTGTAAGAATCCTCGCAGTTATTGAGGTTTGAATTCAGGAAGGTGTGAAACAAAGAACCAAGAATGTCTTATGCATATCTTTTCAAGTATATTATCATAGGCGACACAGGTAAGAGTTAATTGTTATGTTCGTGAATGCGCCGCTTATGTCTACTGGACCGTGGATGCCAATAGCCATTTTGTTGCATATGGTGTTCTGTTTTCATCATAAGGGGCTGTCTCCTGAATCCAACTTACTTTAAATACAATATTCCTAGTTAACACAATCGATGAGAATTGGTCATTTTCTTTTGCATGGATTCAGCATTGAGTTTAAACGTAGTCTCGGAAGGGTGGTGTCCCCATTTACAAGTGGGTCTTGTTCATATTGCACCCATTTCCTCAATGATTTGGCTGCTATAAGCATCAAGGTGTAATTTATCCCTAAAACAATGTGTTCTGGTTGCATCATTAGCTCAGTGGTTCAAGGTTGTAGGTACCTGGGTGTCCTGCACTGGTAGGATATTTTTGTTTGTTTTGGGTGGTATTTACTGCCTCCAGTACTCTGCCTATAGTTACATATATGTCAAATAATTTAACAATTTGGACATAATTTGCAACCAACAGGTGCTATTAAAAAAAAAATCACATGGTGCTGTTGAATAGTTATGTCTGTAGGTCGCTCATGAATGTAGGCCTACAATGCCTATACCTACAATAGAAGCTATCTATGCCCTCTTTGCGTTGAGGGCTCTTAAATCTCACAAAAAATGATTGATGTATTTTCCTTAATTTGTTTTGTTTTACATCACAATGGATTAGATTTGTACCCCTCCCCCCATGCAATGACCTCCATTGCAACTTTCTGCAAATCATTACAAAATAATTTCCTAAGTAATTAATGTCAATTATCAACTAAAATAAGTCACCTTAGTGTAAGCTTTTCATTATCCCCATTTGGTATTTAGTAAAAGATGAAGAAGGTGTACCATTGGAAAAGAGCTAACAAGTTTCAATACTGAAGAGTTACCCTAGATCAAGGTGTTATCATCTTGTATGTTAGTAAAACAGTCGGGCACACTGTGGTATTTCCGATCCATTTATGGAAACGTTTCCATTTTTGGAACAATGTTCCAAAAATGGATACGCCGTTTCCAAAAATAGAAACGATGTGTTCCATAAATGGAGACGCTGTGTGCATCGCTACCTTTAAAGCAAACTGGGCATTGATTGGTGCAATTTGGCATGCGCAGGATGCCACCAATCGACAGCCAGCATTCTAGTTTATGTTCCTGTTCTCCGACTTTCCGATCAGAAAACCGGAAGTTGACGAACGAGGCGATGCTTTTAACATGTTGATGTGATAAAAAAAATTCACACGTTTTTCTAATCGAAAATAATAACATTTATGAATGTTTTGAACAAAAAATAACGTTTTTAACAGACTACTGAAAGGCTGACCCATTGATTGGAACAACCACATCACCGGGAACTTCAGTTTTTCATTCATTTTCACGCTGCGTTTTCCGGTGTACCAGCGGCCTGGTGGTCGTCAATCTTTGATTAAATCGCATGAAAGTTGTTGCAAAGCCCTATTTGGAGACTTAAGTGGGCATTTTATGATATTTCAAATGTGCTGAATATGATCGTAGGCTCGGATCAACGTAAATATCCGTGCAAATACGTTAAAAGCATGATGGAAATAAGGTCTGCACCGTCGTCACACCAAATACCGTTGTATTCTGACGATGAATTTATTCATTCTAGCTCATGTGTAACATTTATATTAATTTTATATATTGAAATGATATCTACGCTTTATGTATTGCCCACTTTGGACCACATCTGTCCAGTAGTTTCTGGGAAATCTTAGTTTTAGTTGACTTTTGAATGTGCTCAAGTTGCGGCGCGTAAGGTATTATTATCGAACCCGACGTCCAAGGTAACTGCCGAGAGCCGAGATGCTAAGCCAGTCCCAAAACATCAAATTTTTAGTTGCATGTGAATTTTAAAAACACATTTAAGCTAAGTTTGCACACATTTGAACTTCAGCGTTTCTATTTTTGGAACATCGGCGTTTCCATTTTTGGAAACTAAGTCTCCATAAATGGATACGATTCAGGAGCCTTTTAAAGACGTGAATTTTAATGCATACGACAGCTTTCCATGCAAGAAGACAAGTGCTTTTGGTGTATCTGAGCTTGTTTTACGCGAAACAGTTGTTATACATCGAATCCAGCCACCCTTGACAAGAAAATATGTGCGGAGATGTTAGCGTTTCTATTTATGGAACGAGCGTTTCCATTTTTGGAACAGAAGAGTAGTCAAAATTGGAAACGTTTCCAATAATAGAAACGTCTCCAAAAATGAATCGGAGATACCACAGTGCGCCCGACTGAAAAGCAATTAAAACTTGGGGAAAATATGTTAAGTTTTAGTAGGGAAATAATAAAACTTATTTTTGATTGACTGCTGAAATCACTGCTGAAGCAGTCATTAACAGTCATTTGAGCTGACTGCTGATTTTGACTGCTCTTTCATTCACTATTGTTTCTGTTTCACAGGTGTGGGCAAATCCTGCCTCCTATTGCAGTTCACAGACAAGAGATTTCAGCCTGTACATGACTTGACCATTGGTAAGCGTCTGCTGATGCTAATGTTTACCTTGACCAATGGACCAATAGTCATTGGTCACTCATTTGAATTTGTTGAAATCACAACTCAGCATAATGTAGTATCTCTACAAGGGCACTTGGTAGCCAGCTCTGCTGCTGCATCATAATGAGCTGAATTGATTGCCCAAAAACTCTAACAACCCATGATATCGACGGTCTGTCAATGTGACTTGACTGAAGGCCTGGAAGCTGGTCTCGCCATCCAACCATCCCCGTTCCTTTCTTTTCCGCGCCGCTGACCGCCCTTCTGTGTGTCACAGGCGTGGAGTTCGGCGCCCGCATGATTACCATCGATGGCAAACAAGTCAAACTGCAGATCTGGGACACGGTAAGGGCTCGGCACCGGATACGGGCTGCGTATTAATCTATATGGGCCGGGATGTCCGGTTATAACGGGCAGAACTACTGACTACAGTAATAGCCAGCTAGTTAGTGGCTTTTCTTTTTTGGCAAGCGTAAACACGTTGGAGTTCCGGATTGACACCTGCCTGCTGTTTTTGTTTCGCCCTTATATCGCATATTCCCATGCTGAGCTGAT